ATCAGGCCCAAAAGTGGTTGCAGTCGCTTACAGGAGTGGGTCGTTTAGTAGAGGTTCCAACTGTAAGTCTTTGACTGGAAAAATTTGGGTATTTTGGATTGGCGGTAGCTTATCAGTTATAGGAGGTGATCGCTTACGAGAGGTGGTCACAAATGGAGGTTCGACTGTATTATTTTTTGACACCATCTAGTTGTAGAGCATACATCTCATACATACATGTATAATTATGTTGTCGGTAAAGTCCATTCTAAGGGTAAACCATAACCTGAGAAATCATCCAACATTTTGCAACGCCACTACTAGTCCCCTCAAAATGACGTCTGAGAAACAAACGCAGAAATTCCATACTGATGACATGTCACTACCCAGATCTGGATAGTGCTTCTGATTGGTTGGAAATCTGCTTTATCCAATCAGAAGCACAACCCAGCTCTTCGTAGTGACATGCCATTGGCATGGAATTTCTGCACTCATTTCTCAGATGTCATTTTGTGGGGAGACCACCGGTGGTGTCTCAGGAATTAAGATTTCATCTCTGTTCCACTATTTTCTTGCGATCAAGTATAAAAACCCAACCACCAGTTGCTAATGATATATTCAGCTTTCTCACGGTAGAAGCTCACTATGATTTGATTTTGTAGGTTGTTGCGCCTATGCCTGCCAGTGTTCATGGAGATCCATTGTACAACTGACTGAGCTTTGGTCTGGCGATCCACACCTTAAATGGGTTTGTGGAAAGCACAGCTGACAAAGTAAATTGGCCTTAGATGTTAGTGTATTAGTAGGAAAGAATACAAATTAATATAGGCCGGGACAAGGAAGGGAATAGACTTGATTGAAGTCTGTAAATGGCATTATTTAAGTTTTTTGGAGAAATTGCAGATAGTTCTCATGTAAATAACTAAATATTTCAGACTCTTTGAAAGAAAGGAAATAATCTTGTTCTGAAACACATTTTTTCTGATCAAGTGCAATGCTTTAACCTTGTATAACTTGTAAAAATATTATGAGCAAAAGAAAAACATGAACAGTCTTAACTTTGGTTTGTTCTGTATTTAATATGTGAATTTTCCTAGAAGAACTCTCACAGTCACCTTCATCCCCCAGTCAAAACTTCTATGATAGGAACATCGAAGGAAGCTTACGTTAAGGGACAAACTCAGTTGTTCACATTACAAACCTATCCACAGTTTTTTTAAACTTTTGGCATGGACCAGGTAGGTAAATCCATCAATGCGACTGGAAAGAGCACCTTTAAATACGTGAAATTGCCAAGTTGTGGGGAGGAATGAAAAACGAGCTCCCCTAAAAACGCCTGCGTGGAAGGCTAAGTTTGAAAGTGATTGGTTGAAAACTAACCATTATGTAGCTCCTCGCCACACAAACAACTACAGGGGCGGATCTAGGGGGAGGGTGTAAGGGGTGCGCACCCCCCCCCCCCCCCCCCCCCCCTTGAACTCGGGCTTTTTTTTTACATCAATAATTTTAAAAAACAAAAAAAACAATTTGTTTTTCTTGTTTGGATATAGATAAAACAGAAAAGCACACACACTCCACAATATCTCTTGAAGCCCCGCC